CGATGCACCATCCCCCCAATGAAAAGCAGGGGTGTCACTAGCACGTTAAGAGACCATACAATAAGTGTCAGGGGCCCGAGACTGTTCAACTGCCTCCCAGCACACATAAGGGGGATTACCAACAGACCCCTGGCAGTCTTCAAGCTGGCACTGGACAAGCACCTAAAGTCAGTTCCTGATCAGCCGGGCTGTGGCTCGTACGTTGGTTTGCGTGCAGCCAGCAGCAACAGCCTGGTTGATCAGGGGCTGATCCACCAGGAGGCCTGGTCACAGACCGGGCCGCGGGGGCATTGACCCCCGAAACTCTCTCCAGGTAAACTCCAGGTAGGAGGAGGTGCGGGATTACCAAAACTGTTGTCCAGAGGGCTGAGGAAGGGTTGTTGAGGTGGTTCGGACATGTAGAGAGAATGGAGCGAAACAGAGTGACTTCAAGAGTGTATCAGTCTGAGTGTAGTGGAAGGAAGGCGGGGTAGGGGTCGGCCTAGGAAAGGTTGGGGGGAGGGGGTAAAGGAGGTTTTGTGTGCGAGGGGCTTGGACTTCCAGCAGGCATGCGTGAGCGTGTTTGATAGGAGTGAATGGAGACAAATGGTTTTTAATACTTGACGTGCTGTTGGAGTGTGAGCAAAGTAACATTTATAAAGGGATTCAGGGAAACCGGCAGGCCGGACTTGAGTCCTGGAGATGGGAAGTACAGTGCCTGCACTCTGAAGGAGGGGTGTTAATGTTGCAGTTTAAAAACTGTAGTGTAAAGCACCCTTGGCAGACAGTGATGGAGTGAATTGGTGAAAGTTTTTTCTTTTTCGGGCCACCCTGCCTTGGTGGACCACCCTGCCTTGGTGGTCCACCCTGCCTTGGTGGACCACCCAGCCTTGGTGGACCACCCTGCCTTGGTGGACCACCCTGCCTTGGTGGGCCACCCTGCCTTGGTGGGCCACCCTGCCTTGGTGGGCCACCCTGCCTTGGTGGCCACCCTGCCTTGGTGGGCCACCCTGCCTTGGTGGACCACCCAGCCTTGGTGGACCACCCTGCCTTGGTGGACCACCCTGCCTTGGTGGGCCACCCTGCCTTGGTGGACCACCCTGCCTTGGTGGTCCACCCTGCCTTGGTGGACCACCCTGCCTTGGTGGACCACCCTGCCTTGGTGGACCACCCTGCCTTGGTGGACCACCCTGCCTTGGTGGTCCACCCTGCCTTGGTGGACCACCCTGCCTTGGTGGACCACCCTGCCTTGGTGGACCACCCTGCCTTGGTGAACCACCCTGCCTTGGTGAACCACCCTGCCTTGGTGGGAGACGGCCAGTGTGATAATAGAAATAAATTATTTTTTACATGAAATATACACAGAAAATAATAATACATGCAGAATAAACAATACTAAAATGACACATACCGTTATCGAAGATGTGTTGATGAGTGATGAGGTGGGGAGAGGTTGGAGGTGTGTACAATTGTTTGCAATGAGAACCCCCTTCCATAAAGACTTAAGGTAACAAGTCCTTTTCTGGGGTTACCTCCTTCTTTGTTTTTTAATGCCACTAGGACCAGCTTGAGAGTCACTGGACCCTTGTCACACCAAAAATCTGTCCAGGGGTGGCCTGGTGGTTAACGCTCTGGCTTCACACGGTGAGGGCCTGGGTTCGATTCCCAGCCAGAGTAGAAACATTGGACGTGTTTCTTTCCACCTGTTGTCTATGTTCCCCATCAGTAAAATGGGTACCTGGGTGTTAGTCGACTGTTGTGGGTCGCATCCTGGGACACTGACCTAAGGAGGCCTGGTCACAGACCGGGCCGCGGGGGCGTTGACCCCCGAAACTCTCTCCAGGTAAACTCTCCAGGTAAAGAACTCTGTTTCTGGCATTTCTTTAAGATTTCCCAAAAATGGGGCACAACATTATCATTGTAGATGTTGCCAGTATGACTTGCAACAGCTGTGTCAGGGTGATGTTCATCCGTAAATGTTTGCACATGAGAAAGCAGGAACACTGCAGCAGGCCTATTGGCCCATACTAGGCAGGTTCTTCACAAACCATCCCAATAACAGAATCGTATTTGTCCAACCCAATTTTCAATCCTTCCCAAACAATAAGCTTTGATAATTCTGTTCACTCAAGTGCAAATCCCAATCAAATCAAATCGTGTGTGTGGGGAAGTACCCTGGCTGGTATGTGGGGAAGTACCCTGGCTGGTATGTGGGGAAGTACCCTGGCTGGTATGTGGGGAAGTACCCTGGCTGGTATGTGGGAAAGTTCCCTGGCTGGTATGTGGGGAAGTACCCTGGCTGGTATGTGGGGAAGTACCCTGGCTGGTATGTGGGGAAGTACCCTGGCTGGTATGTGGGGAAGTACCCTGGCTGGTATGTGGGGAAGTACCCTGGCTGGTATGTGGGGAAGTACCCTGGCTGGTATGTGGGGAAGTACCCTGGCTGGTATGTGGGGAAGTACCCTGGCTGGTATGTGGGGAAGTACCCTGGCTGGTATGTGGGGAAGTACCCTGGCTGGTATGTGGGGAAGTACCCTGGCTGGTATGTGGGGAAGTACCCTGGCTGGTATGTGGGGAAGTACCCTGGCTGGTATGTGGGGAAGTACCCTGGCTGGTATGTGGGGAAGTACCCTGGCTGGTATGTGGGGAAGTACCCTGGCTGGTATGTGGGGAAGTACCCTGGCTGGTATGTGGGGAAGTACCCTGGCTGGTATGTGGGGAAGTACCCTGGCTGGTATGTGGGGAAGTACCCTGGCTGGTATGTGGGGAAGTACCCTGGCTGGTATGTGGGGAAGTACCCTGGCTGGTATGTGGGGAAGTACCCTGGCTGGTATGTGGGGAAGTACCCTGGCTGGTATGTGGGGAAGTACCCTGGCTGGTATGTGGGGAAGTACCCTGGCTGGTATGTGGGGAAGTTCCCTGGCTGGTGTGTGTGAAGTACCCTGGCTGGTGTGTGTGAAGTACCCTGGCTGGTGTGTGTGAAGTACCCTGGCTGGTGTGTGTGAAGTACCCTGGCTGGTGTGTGTGAAGTACCCTGGCTGGTGTGTGTGAAGTACCCTGGCTGGTGTGTGTGAAGTACCCTCGCTGGTGTGTGTGAAGTACCCTGGCTGGTGTGTGTGAAGTACCCTGGCTGGTGTGTGTGAAGTACCCTGGCTGGTGTGTGTGAAGTACCCTCGCTGGTGTGTGTGAAGTACCCTCGCTGGTGTGTGTGAAGTACCCTGGCTGGTGTGTGTGAAGTACCCTGGCTGGTGTGTGTGAAGTACCCTCGCTGGTGTGTGTGAAGTACCCTCGCTGGTGTGTGTGAAGTACCCTGGCTGGTGTGTGTGAAGTACCCTGGCTGGTGTGTGTGAAGTACCCTCGCTGGTGTGTGTGAAGTACCCTCGCTGGTGTGTGTGAAGTACCCTCGCTGGTGTGTGTGAAGTACCCTGGCTGGTGTGTGTGAAGTACCCTCGCTTTTTCTTGAATTCTATAGTATTTCTCACCCTCTTTACCACAGGACTGACACTAGAAGCTTTCTTTGGGCCCATGGTGCCTTATTTAGCAGTTACAAGAACTAAAAACAATGGAATAATACAAAGTACATGAACAGTATATTACATGTACATGTGGAATCATCCTCACTGGCTTGTAAACACTGGCTGTACATGGAGTGTCCGGGGCGAATGTCCTTTTTCGGTAACTGAGCCAATATTTTGACGCAAAAACGTATCGCTATCCGATTTTTTCGTTATGCGATGACGTTGTTACCCGAGGGTCCACTGTACAGTATACTGCTGAGTTAGACCTCATAAACTATGACGACAACTTCTATGTTACAATGTTGCTGGAATATTCAACTTGTCAACATTGCAAATGCAACATCACCCAGGACTTCCTGCGTATCAGCATATTATATATATTTATATATACAGTGGACCCCCGGTTAACGATATTTTTTCACTCCAGAAGTATGTTCAGGTGCCAGTACTGACCGAATTTATTCCCATAAGGAATATTGTGAAGTAGATTAGTCCATTTCAGACCCCCAAACATACACGTACAAACGCACTTACATAAATACACTAACATAATTGGTCGCATTCGGAGGTAATCGTTATGCGGGGGTCCACTGTACATGTATAATGCCGAATAGGTAAAACTTTGTGATTTTGGCTTAAATAGCAATGTTCTTCTTGCAGAATAAGGCAGGCAAAAATTTGTGTATGCAATTTTGCAAAAATCAATCTATATATTTCATTATATTTGTTTATTATTAAATTATTGTGAACTTATCTAAAATATATTTAGTTGGATTAGGCTAAATTAAATTGAGCTTGTTATAATAAGGTTCTTTTGGTACATAATAATTAATTTTTGTATTAACATAAATGAAAAAAATATATCTTTAAATGCATAAGAGAAAATTTTAGAACTTAATTTTAAATGAGTTCTTGATAATTGACCAATTTTACCTATTCGGCACCACAGATATATATATATTTTTTCTTTCAACAAACAGGCCGTATCCCACCAAGGCGGGGCGGCCCAAAAAGAAAAACCAAAGTTTCTCATTTTTTAAATTTAGTAATATATACAGGAGAAGGGGTTACTAGCCCCTTGCTCCTGGCATTTTAGTCGCCTCTTACAGCAAGCACGGCTTACGGAGGAAGAATTCTGTTCCACTTCCCCATGGAGATAAGAGGAAATAAACAAGAACAAGAACTAGAAAGAAAATAGCAGAAAACCCAGAGGTGTGTGTGTGTGTGTATATATATGCTTGTACATGTATGTGTAGTGTGACCTAAGTGTAAGTAGAAGTAGCAAGACGTATCTGAAATCTTGCATGTTTATGAGACAAAAATGGACACCAGCAATCCTACAATCATGTAAAACAATTACAAGCTTTCGTTTTACACTCACTTGGCAGGGTAATACAGAGTGGTGGAGGTTCAATCCACCATCTGATAAAGCCATGTTGATCATTCAGTACAGGTAAGGACGAGGTTTGATCCATCATTCACTAATTATTGATTACATTGCAGGACGGACAGGTGTGTTGTCGTTACGGCCGCCGCTGTCTGGGTAATTGGCACAGGAGTGCCCTTCCAGTTGTCACGTCTGGTGCTCCGTGGGTTGGGCACACTCCACTTGTTGGCGCTGGGACTAGTTATGTGTTTTGTGGCTCCGCTCTTCCGCTGCTTCGCTGCTCTGTGGCGGTTGCTGCTGCAACTGCAGCAGTTGCTGGTCACAACTACGCCACCCTCAGGGAAGTTACCGGCATGCCCCACACAAACAAGTTGCCCCAGCCCGGAATTACCCGCACCTCGCCGCCCACCAGACCTCACGCCCACCTGGTGGTGGGTGCCAACCCACCGACGGGTAGCACTTCCCCGCTCCGTGACGTGCCTCAGACATTTGCCCTGGCGGGCACTCCTAGTGATAGTGACACTCCAAAGACTGGCGGGGCGCCGCACGCTGGGCACCGCCGTCACTCGCATCGAAATGCCATCTGGTGGAACCGATCTCGCAGAGCACAATTATTCAGGGAGCCCCAAGATGGGCTCAGGAAACGAGCGCCGTAAGGCGATTCGAGCACAAGAAACGAGGTGCTTCAGTCTAAACGACAGAACCACTTCACTGACCTGAGGCCGGCCTCGCCCCGCCACTCCACGACTCATTCCATGGTAGCAGGTGTCACGTATATCCTCGCCTGCTGCTGGTATTAAGCAGGCTTCGTGAGCAGAGTTGTTCCCACTTAACTGGTTGTTAGGAGGTTGCAAAACTCATTGATGCAGATATTGACCAGTGAGGCAAAAATGCTCATTTTTGTCACCCGGAAATAGTGCAGCATCAGCAGGGAGCAAAAAGTTGCATCTGTAACTTCCTTGCAACTCTTAGCTAGTTGCATTGCTCCTGTGCAGCATGGAATTCACATTCCACATTAGCTACTTTTATGCAACTCTTCCCGGCAAGTTGCATTGCTCCCTCATCATCCTGCTCCTCCGCCACAGCAGCAATTGCAAGTTGTAGATCCCAGAGCGAGGTATCAACCCTAGTCTGCCTGAGCTGTAGCCTTGTCTGCCTCTGCCTGTCAAACGTTAGTCTTCCTTAAGGTCGTGGTCAGTGTAGCGGTGGTATCAGTCATGCACCCTAATACAGTGTTCCTTAGGCGTTATGGCCTCTCCCTATTGGCTAAAACTTAGAATCGGAGCTAGTGTACAGTGGGTGCTCAGGGCTACGGTTGTGTTGTACATATCATGTATATATATATACCAATTAGGCTCAGCCGATTCTTATTTTGGTGATGCTAAAGCGAGAGGTTGCCATAGCTAAGACTGCCATCAGTTGACGTAAAGACTGTTTTTTCTCTGTGGTCATTCCATTTTCTGCTAGTCATGTTAGTCTTGTCCTGATTTCCCTTGGCATAACGTACTGTCACATAGTACAGTTTACATCGTATGGGAATATACATTCCTCTTGTCGCATAAATGAAAAAAATATGTTGAGAGATTCAACAGCAATGTTATCCTGCACTCTAGTTGATTATAATAGTCTCTAGTCATTCCTAATCAATATTCTGTAATGTCTGCTGATTAAACTGCCTACACGATGAGTTGACTCAATATGGTTATCAAGTGTGTACAGGTCAATCCTTCATGAACGGAGGGTCAGACACGGGGAAGACATGGTCTGTGTGTTTCAACTTTGTCCAGACACTGTCTTCAGTAGATGGAAAGGTTTTTGATTTAGCAGATATCTGCTGAGGAATGTCTCTGAGCAGATATCTGCCAAGAGAATTTCTGATCAGATATCTTCTAAGAGGGGGGTCTCTGATTGTATGCACATTCACCAAGTGAAAGGTTCCTGATTGGTCACACAGCTCATTGCTCCCCACATTTCACCCTCCATTCATGTGGGACTAACCTCTCCCATCACTCAGTGTTTACAGGACTCAATACACATCTACATATATACATATATATATACATAGTGTACTTATCCATGTACTCGCGTCACACTGAGGCAACATGCGTCGCTGGTGATGTACGCGCCATTGTATGTACACGTCAGTCGTGGCCCGTATAAACAACCGTAGGAATTAATAATTTTCAGTTCGAGAACGCATGCAAGCGCAACGCCAGCCAGTGAAGGCAATGGTTTTATAGATTTTGTGTGCTCAAAAATCCATGGATTTCACACACTCACACACACACACACACACACAACATATAATATAATATATATATATATATATATATTATATATATATATATATATATATATATATATATATATATATATATATATATATATTATTTAATCATAGACACATATACACAGACATGTATAATTTATTTATTTATTTTTGAGATTTGCAAATATAGCAGATAGAGGATATAGTCAAGTTTTTGGTAAAGATAAACTATGCAAATTATTATTTCTAACCATACCTAAGATATTGTAGTTAGCATGTGACATGGTTAAAATACAATACCCATTGTATTAGATGCAGAAGCTTAGAGTATTGTATGCTTAAGTATGGACACTCATACAGCTGAAAATACACTGTGTATGTGAGGCACTGTGGATAGTACAGTCATACTTGGCTTTGTATTTAGGGTTATACATCACAAAATACAAACTTTAAAGGTTCACTGACTGGCCCAAATACACTCATCACTTCTTTTTAATACAATATATAAATACTTTAAGTTTTGAACTGTAATATTGATGAGATTGGTAGAATGATGGTGAGGTTGTTTCTTCTTTCTCAGGTTACCTTGCCTTGGTGGGAGACAACCAGTGTATTAATATTGTGTGTGTGTGTGTGTGTGTGTACTCACCTAATTGTGGTTGCAGGGGTCGAGAGTCAGCTCCGGGCCCCGCCTCTTCACTGATCGCTACTGGGTCCTCTCCCTCTCTGCTTCCAGAGCTTTGTCATACCTCTTCTTAAAACTATGTATGGTTCCTGTCTCCACTACATCGCTTCCCAGACTATTCCACTTCCTGACGACTATGACTGAAGAAATACTTCCTAACGTCCCTGTGACTCGTCTGAGTCTTCAGCTTCCAATTGTGACCCCTTGTTTCTGTGTCCCCTCTCCAGAACATCCTGTCTCTGTCCACCTTGTCTATTCCCCGCAGTATCTTGTATGTCGTTATCATGTCTCCCCTGACCCTTCTGTCCTCCAGTGTCGTCAGTCCGATTTCCCTCAACCTTTCCTCGTACAACATTCCCCTGAGCTCTGGAACTAGCCTTGTTGCAAACCTATGTGTGTGTGTGTGCATGTATGTGTATCATGCCGAATAGGTAAAACCGGTCAGTTAGCATGAACTCGCCTAAAATTTCTCTCTTATACATTTAAAGATATATTTTTAAATATATGTTAATGTAAAAATTAATAATTTTGTACCAAAAGAACCTTTGGAAACTTACCTGGCCTTATTATAACAAATGCAATTTAATTTAGCCTAATCTAACTAAATATATTTTAGATAAGTTTACAATAATTTAATAAAAAACACAATGAAATATATTTTTTCGTTAGGTTCAGTATGATTTCTGCGAAATTATTACAGACATAAATTTTCACTTGTCTTTTCGGCAAGAAGATTGTTGCTATTAAGCCAAAATTGCAAGTTTCACCTATTTTATGTATATCCTGGCAAAAAGGTCAAACTTGCAATTTTGGCTTAAATAGCAAACACTCTTCTTGCTGAATAGCACATGTGAAAATTTGTGTATGCGATAATTTCACAAAAATCATTCTGAACCTAATAAAAAAATATATTTCATTGTGTTCGTTCATTATTAAATTATTGTAAATTTATCTAAAATATATTTCGTTGGATTAGGCTAAACTAAGGTTCTTTTGGTACAGATTTATTAGTTTTTATATTAACATAAATAAAAAATATATATCTATAAACATATAAGAGAAAATTTTAGAAAGGACTTAATTTTAAATGATACATCACTATAGCACTGGTTCTTCATTGATGTTGGTGTATTAAGCACAAGCGCATGTGAAGAACCTAACTAAATGTTAGTAGTGATGTTTGTACCTCAACGGCCATCGCAGAGTGACTCTAAGAGTTTAACACATTGAAAACTGCCTTGCAAGATTAAGACACAAAATCTCTCAACCAGCAGTGTTGTAAGTACCTCACCAATTGTCACTCACTGATGCAAATCGACTCAAAGAAGAAAACACATCTACCATCATTCAATCACTGCCATGGAAAAGTATAACACAGCATTATCCATTATCTATAGAAACATCATAGTAGTGTTATAAATACCTCAATGGCCAACACAGAGTGACTCAAAGATGAAAACATATCTACCATCATTGAATCACAGCCTTACTAGTAGTGTGCTGCTGTCACAGTTCAGGTGACCCTCCGAACTGCCACATCCCCACCGTATCAGCAGTGGCGTTATGATGTACTAATAACATGCGGGGTGTCCGCTCGCCACCTGAAGAATATTTTCCAAATTTAGACAATATTTTGGTCCCATTTATTGTTACTTTCAGTTTGTAATTATGTACAGTGGACCCCCTGTTTACGATATTATTTCATTCCAGACGTATGTTCAGGTGCCAGTACTGACCGAATTTGTTCCCATAAAGAATATTGTGAATTAGATTAGTCCATTTCAAACCCCCAAACATACACGTACAAATGCACTTACATAAATACACTTACATAAATGGTCGCAATGGGAGGTGATCGTAAAGCGGGGGTCCACTGTATTACCGTTTTGACGGAAAATTAAAGCAAGAGTATACTGTAATAAAGTATCTAAAACGAGAGACTTACGAATTTTTTATTTTCCTAAATTTTTTCTAAAAAATAATATACTCAATAAAGAATACTGTAATTTAAGTATAATTTAAGTAACTGCAATGAATATGTAATAAAGTATTTTTTTTTGTGTTTTTTTTTGGTCTGAAAGTATACTTTAAAAAAAAGTGTAAGAAATAACTGAAATGTGCAATAAAGTAACTGAAATAATGCTAACAAAAACTGATACAATAACTTAATAAAGAAATACAACATTGTTTAGAGAAAATGTTAAAGGACGGGCCACCCCCAAAACCCCCCCATAATAGTCGAGTGACTTTACTACCCTCCCCCACCCCCCCTACCATAATAGTCAGAGTGATTTTACTACCCTCCCCAAACCCCCCCTACCATAAAAGTCAAAAGTGACTTTTCCCCCCCCCCCCCCCTCCAAAAATAGTTGAGTGACTTACTACCCTCCCCCCCCCCCCCTCCCATAATAGTAGTGACTTTACTACCCCCCCCCCCCCCCCTACCAAAAATAGTCAGAGTGATTTTACTACCCCCCCCCCCCCTACCATAAAACAGAGTGATTTTACTACCCTCCCCCCCCCCCCCCTCCCATAATAGTCAGATGACTTTACTACCCCCCCCACCCCCCTCCATAATGTCAATGATTTACACCCTCCCCCCCCCCCCTACCTAATAGTCAGAGTACTTTCCCCTCCCCCCCCCCCCCCCCTACCATAATGTCAGGGATTTTACACCCCCCCCCCGCCCCCTCCCAAAATAGTCAAGTGATTTTTACACCCTCCCCCACCCCCCTACCTAATAGCAGAAACTTTTACTCCCTCCCCCCCCCCCCTACCATAAAAGTCAGAGTGACTTTACTACCCCCCCCCCCCCTACCATAATAGTCAAGTGACTTTATACCCCCCCCCCACCCCCCTACCAAATGTCAGAGTGACTTTATACCCCCCCCCCCACCCCCCCTACCATAAATCGGGTGATTTTACTACACCCCCCCACCCCCCTACCATAATATCAGATGACTTTACTACCCTCCCCCCCCCCCTACCATAATGCAAGTATTTACTCCCCTCCCCCCCCCCCACCATAATATCAAGTGACTTTATACCCCCCCCCACTGCCCTCCCCATAATTTCAGATGACTTACACCCCCCCCCCCCCCCACCAAATAGTCAGAGTGACTTTATACCCTCCCCCAACCCCCCCTCCCAAAAGTAAGAGTGACTTTCTACCCTCCCCCCCCCCCCTCCCAAAATAGTCATGATTTTTCTACCCTCCCCCACCCCCCCCCTAATATCAGGTGACTTTACTACCCTCCCCCCCCCCCAACCAAATATCAGGGATTTTACTACAATCCCCCACCCCCCCTCCCAAAATAGTCGAGTGACTTTAACCCTCCCCCAAACCCCCCTACAATAATAGTGACTTTCACCCTCCCCACCCCCCCAACCATAATAGTCAGAGTGACTTTACTACCCCCCCCCCCCTACCATAATAGAGGACTTTACTCCCTCCCCCACCCCCCTACCATAAAGAGTGACTTTATACCCTCCCCCCACCCCCCTCCCCAAAATATCAGAGTGACTTTACTACCCTCCCCCCCCCCCCCACCTAATAGTCAAGTGACTTTTACCCCCTCCCCCACCCCCTACCAAATAGAGTGACTTTATACCCCCCCCCCCCCCTCCCATAATGTCAAGTGACTTTTATTTCCCTCCCCCCCACCCCCCTCCATAATAGTCGAGTGACTTTTTACCCCCCCCCCCCCCTACCAAAAAAAATCGAGTGACTTTACAACCCCCCCCCACCCCCTACCAAAAAAACAAGTGACTTTATACCCCCCCCCCCCCTACCAAAATAAATCGAGTGATTTTTACTACCCTCCCCCCCCCCCCTACCATAACAAAGTAAAGAGGACTTTACAAACCCTCCCCCCCCCCCTCCCTAAAAAAGTCGATGATTTACAACCCCCCCCACCCCCCTACCAAATAAAGTCAAGTGACTTTACTACCCTCCCCACCCCCCAAACCATTAAAGTCAGAGTGACTTTACAACCCTCCCCCACCCCTCCAAAATAAATCAAGTATTTTACTAACCCCCCACCCCCCTACCATAAAAAGTCAGAGTGACTTTACTACCCTCCCCACCCCCCTACCATAATAAAGCAGAGTGATTTTAAAAACCCCCCTCCCCACCCCCTACCTTAAAAGTCAGAGTGATTTACAAACCCCCCCCACCCCCCTACCAAAATTTAAAAGTCGGTGACTTTCAACCCTCCCCCCCCCCCTCCCATAAAACCAAGGACTTTACTACCTCCCCCCCCCCCCACCAAAAAAAAAGTCAGAGTGACTTTACAACCCTCCCCCCCCCCCCCCTACCATAATAAAGTCAGAGTGA